ATGAGTACAATTAAACATCCCCGGAGCCCCACGATGCAAGTTCGCACCAGTATAAGCACTAGGAATATACAATTTGGTAAGGGCCATGACAGAACTGACTGGGTTTGTGTTCTGAACACATGCGCCCCTCTCATGCACACGTACTGCTGTAAGCCTGTGCACGCGCGCACACGCCAACCTTTTCTAGTTTTCTCAACGTTTGTTTAAGACCAGTGTCTGTCTCATGCGCTCCCCATCCCACAGCAGACCAGCTGCCGCCTGTCCCGGCGGTCCGCTCCAACAGACTCACCTGAGGTACGAGTGTCCACCGCTGCTACCGCTGACCGCTCACATTCTTGTCTCACTGAATACAGTCCCTGACAAAGGTCTTGTCGCTTATCCATTTTGTAGAAACAAAAACTTATAACCTGACTTTAAATTAATCGATTAGTTTCAGAAATGTCCCATATGAAAGCTAAAACCCTCCCAAATTATGCTCAATATACTAAAATAAATTTGCTTCACTGAAGAAAGATTGATAATTTAATGAACACAGAAAGGTCAGATTTTGGCAAGACAAAAGTCTTGTCACCTTGTCATATGATGCACCCAATCCTAGATTACAGCCTCACCTGTGATCAGTTACTTATCAATCAATTAGTGGGTGTGTATAAAAAGAACCCCAGCACACCAGACCTTCACATCAACTGCAACTTGACCTCTGACAACATGCCTAAGATCCACCCTGAGACCAAAGCGTTAATTATCAAGAGGCTGAAGACCAGATCCACTGCTGAGGTGGCTGACACCTTCAATGTGTCTCAGCGTCAAGTACAAAGAATAAGAAAAAGATCTGAAATGACTGGAGATGTTTTTGACAAGCCCAGGTCCAGCAGACCCCGCAAGACAACTGCTCAGGAGGCCCGTTTGTTGATTCGAAAATCCAAGGCCAGCCCCTTTTCCACTGCAGCAGATCTCCACCAGGCCTGGTCACCTCAAGTCCCTGTGTCAACCAGAACAGTTTGTAGAATTCTGTCTCGAAATGGCCTCCATGGTCAAATCAGTGCACAGAAACCAGCACTAAACAAAAGGCAATTAAAAAACCGTGTGGCATTTGCCAAGGCCTACAGCCTGCTAAAAGGATGGACACTGGAAAAGTGGCAGAAGGTGGATTTCTCAGATGAATCCTCGGTTGAATTACATCACAGCTGCCGCAAATAATGCAGGAGACCTACTGGAGCCCTCATGGATCCAAGATTCACCCAGAAAACAGTTAAGTTTGGTGGTGGAAAAATCATGGTCTGTGTTCCATCCAGTATGGGGATGTGCGAGACATTTGCAGGGTGGAAGGCAATATCAATAGCCTAAAATATCAAGAAGTATTAACTACCTCTTACATTCCCAACCATAAAAGGGGTCAAATTTTGCAGCAGGATGGTGCTCCATCGCATACTTCTATCTCTACATCAAAGTTTCTCAAGGCGAAGAAGATCAAGGTGCTGCAGGACTGGCCAGCCCAGTCACCAGACATGAACATCATTGAGTATGTCTGGGGTGGAATGAAAGAGGAAGCATGAAGGCAAAACCAAAGAATCTTGATGAACTCTGGGAGGCATGTAAAACTGCTTTCTTTGCTATTCCTGATGACTTCATCAACAAATTGTATGAATCATTGTCGAACCGCATGGATGCAGTCCTTCAAGCTCATGGAAGTCATACAAGATATTAAATATGGATCTCACAGCACCACTACTTAATTCACTGACGTTATGTAACATATTTTTGTATTTGAAGTAAATTATTTGTTCAATTTTCTGTAGGTGACAATACTTTTGTCTTGCCAAAATCTGACCTTTCTGTGTTCATTAAATTATCAATCTTTCTTCAGTGAAGCAAATTTATTTTAGTTTATTGAGCATAATTTGCGAGGGTTTTAGCTTTCATATGGGACATTTCTAAAACCAATCCATTAATTTAAAGTCAGGTTATAAGCTTTTGTTTCTACAAAATGGATAAGCGACAAGACTTTTGTCAGGGACTGTACTCGTACAGATGGATGTCTCGCAGATTATAGATCAAATCAAAGTATAGCGCAGTGCTGAGCCGATACAGGGTAGGCGAAGAGCTGTGCTCTGCTGCAGGAGGGCATCCGGACAGCTCCCGCACAGCACACAAACGTGTTATGAATGTTAAGCATTTATCATCCTAATATAAATCATAGAAGCCTTGAGCATGTTACATGTTGTTTTTCAGTGGACTTTATTTATATAAAATATTTATTTTAACGATTCTGGCAATTCACTAAACGCGCCACACCACGCCCTCAGTCTGCTCCACTCCACCTGATATTCAGCCACGGCACACCTCCTGTTTAGTGAGTGCTCCACGCCCCACACTTGCTCTAGTGCTAAGACGGGGCAAGATCAGGCCCACAGTATCAGAATAAACTGACACTTCAGATACTATGGCAGAAATGAATAGGTAAAACTAATAGTTGTCGTAATACAGTTAATTTATCCATTTAACAATACTCATTATTAGAGATGTGCTCAGTGGCCTGTTCAGCATTTCTGAGTAAGTAATTTCCATAGACAAGGTCTGACCAAGAGGCATCAGTTGGAGATTATCTCTCTTAAGAGACCAACTGTAGCAAAAACAAAAGTATTTTTTCAAGATGAAAAGATTTATTTCCCACACTCAACAAAACAACTTCTGCCACAATGCCACTGTACAGCACCAGCGCGCATCTCTGTAATGCTTAAAGTGAACGCAGGGGTCTTTTCATCCCCACATTATAGATAGAGATGAGTAATGAGAGCTGTTGTGTGCCTGTAAGCCAATCAGACACATTCTTAAGAGATTCTCCCCATACCCCTACTGTACACATGTATAGTTGTGTGTATAATTGGGATTGTGAAAGAAAGGGTTAAGTGAACTCTATGGAGAATTGTGGCATTGTGAGTAGAACGGCTGAGCAGAGGCGTCTGTTTGTGAGCAGTGATGTGCTGAAAAGAAAGGCCTTTCTTTGGCATTTCATCACCCCATTAGTATAGCACATTGGGAAGAGATGGGGCGACCCTCTGTTGGGACAGAAAGAAAAATCCAATATTAAACCCAATGTGGCGGAATTAATATACATTAGAATGGGTGACAGGGGACAGAAACAAAAAGGTAAGTGTCTATAGGCCTTGTTTACCTTTTTATTGAAATGTGTGGCAGCACTACTATCATGTAAATGAACAATCCAACAAATATTTACAAGTACTGTATTAAGCTCAAAAATGGGGATTTTTTGGAGCCATTTTTTGGCTTACTGACATCAAGGGGGGGGGGGGGGGTATTTTTTTTTCTAAAAAAAAAAATATTTTTTTTTCTTTCTTTTTTTTTTTTTTTTCATTTTGCAACATCAACTCATTTTTTTTCTCTTGATTTTTTTTTTTCCACCGTTGATGTGGCTGCTTTTGTTTTTGTTGTTGATGTTTTAAGGTAGATGAGTTGTTTTTTTGTCTTTGCTTGTGTTTCCCTTGTGGAGTGGCGCTGAAAGGGCCCAGTGAAGCTTATTATTAGCTTGTTTCTTTCCAGGCCCAGGCACTGCTGCGCATGGCAAAGGCGCAGGCAGGTGAGCAGAACTAGGCAGCTTGAGATCGTGGATCCTCTGTCTTTCTGTGAGAGCAAGAGTGGGGATCACTGCTCCAGGCTGGAAGACAGAACGCCGCACTGCCTTTCTGGTTTTAGTGGGACTGGGGCCCTGACACGGAGAGCGGTGGGGTTCCCCAGACTGTCAGCTGGTGCTGCTGCTCGTCAAGCGACTTTTGGAGCTGTGCGTAAAACTGCTCCTGTCCAACACGGGAGTAGGGTATGCTCCAAGCAAACATGCATGGCAAGAGGAGCTCATGGGGATTTGGGGACAAACATGCAGCATATACTTTCATCCAACCGGAACACCAGGGGTGTAGTGGGTGTGGTAGGCGGGGGTACGCCGTCCACCCACTTCTCCCAAAGTGAGATATAAAAAATAACAAATGTAAAATAGCTACAACTTAAATGTCAAACCGGAGCCATTGGCAATGGTGAAAAGAACCTGCATAGGCTCATAATATCTGAGACATCAGGGGACCAGGACTGAACAAGGACCAAACCAGGCCGAGAGAGAGAGAGAGAGAAAAGACAGAGAAAGAGAGAGAGAGCGAAAGAGAGAGGATGGCGACAGTTCGGGAAACCTGGCCGCTCTCCGCGTCAGGGCACACCCCAGTGCCACTAAAACCAGAGAGGCAGTGTGGTGTTCTGTCTTCCAGCCTGGAGCAGTGATCCCCACTCTTGCTCTCGAGAAAGACGGCGGATCCACAATCTCAAGCTGCCTAGTTCCACTCACCTGCCAGCGCCTTTGCCTTGCGCAGCACCTGGTGCCTGGGCTCGGAGAGAAATAAGCTTCACTGGGCACTTTGAGTGCCACTCCACAAGGAAAACACAAACAAAGACAAAAAAACAACTCATCTACCTTAAAACTCAAACACTGACCCCTTTACGCGATAGTGCAGCCCTTTGCCACATAAGCTAAACAGGAGCACATCAACAAAGTACAACAGTACAACTAAAGTACAATAGAAATACAGCATCTTATGCCTGTAGTGTGATTAAAAAAAAAGAAAAAAACACTTAGAAAATAGAGCCCAAATGACCTGCCTCTTCTCTTGCCTCTCAGGGTTTCCATAGGAAAGGTATACAAGCCAACAATGAAACCACAGAAACTAAGTGAGAGTTAATGCATAAATACAAATGTGTACACCTACATGCCACAGGGTTCAGGGGAGTGGCATTATAGCTCTGAAACTCAAACATATTTTTAAAAATTTTAAATATTAAATCATGCTGAATATGCATATTTTTCTTATGTTACCTTATTGTGAAATGTATAAGTATGTATAATTTAATTTAATTGATCTAATTCTGTAAAATAATACAAAAACAGTCTTTAGTTTTCCACAGTTCTGTATTGTCTTAACAGAATCAAACACAAAGAGAGCACAAGTACAGAGAAACACAATTTGGAGCTGGACAGTGTGAAGATTTATTCCAGTGAAGACGCTCTGGTCTCTGCCTGTGGACACAGAATAACACATGATGATCACATTCTGATGATCTACTCTGTTGTACATGTTTAAATACATTTAAAGTACTTATTACTACAATAATGGACCAGAACAGAATCACAAGAACATTAGAACTGTATCTGCAGAAACAAAACTCACCATGTGCTGCTTTTCTTCCTCTAAACGCAGTAACAGGGAGGGCATCTGGTATAAAGTCTCCTAGTGCCACATCACCCTTTAGAAATGCGAAAACTGTTTCAATAGGAAGTTCATTTTGAAAAATTTGTTTAAAATCATTTTAGTTGGTTTACTTACTTTGTTCATCTGTGGTCTGTGTTTTGTTGGTTCTCAAACATCTTCCTTTTTTCTGAAACATCAACTATAACATTCATGAACTTCCCCACAGCTCCAGCAGAGCTCTGGACGTCACTCTTTGTAGACGACTCTGGAAGCAACACATTCAAATCTTAGTACAAGTGTCACACTCTTGTAGATGGACAGTCAAAAACAATTTGTTTCAAGGAGTCCTTACATTAACTCAAATTTCAAATAAAACAACACAAACATGTTTTAACAATGACATCATTCTAGGCTGGAGAAACATATAAAATCTTTGAAAAGTCTCACCTCCAGATCAGCTCTCATAATCCCCCTGCTCCCCACTGTGTGTCCTCTGCTCCTGTAACTCTCCTGTGTCCTGTTACATTTGAATTTTCCCTCCAAAAGTTTTGGGTAGGAGAATTCCAGAGGGAGGAGCCTCACCAGAAATTATAATAAAGTCATGTTTCCTCAACCTGATTAAAACATGCAGGTCTCACATCGGCCACAATCAAGCAACCTTTGTAAGATTTAAACATGCTGGACAGAGAAATGTAAAAAAGTCATGTTATTGTTGACAAATTTGTTTTTGCAATTTGAACAACCCCTCTTAGACAATTTTTTCAGTGTAGGACGTAGTCCATAACAATTGCCTGGAAAAATCCAAGATCTGCATAACAAATACAAAGAGATATCCTTCTGGATTTCGAGGGAACATAACAGTGTTTTATGGTTCAAAAAGTTGAATAATTGACAGAACTGTATCAGCAACAATGTCAACTGCAATATAAGTTTTTAAGATATTCTTCCACTGCTCTTGACAATGCTAGTCATATATTACCAAGTGACTTACAAATGTTTTCATGTCTAGCATAGTATGACTTTATCTATATCGGTGAAATGACCAAGTTCCATAGTGTACTCAATCAATAGAAGATTATGCTGAATAAAATTTGCCTGTTAAGAGGACACTACAGCAGGCATTATGCAGGTTTGTGAGAGTTTTTCTTGTGCAACACAATTACATGACGCAATGCAAGATCGAGGATAAAGAGCGCATCTGCACTGCGTTTATACCTAGAATTTATTTTATTTATGCTACTACATTAAGCCGACATATATAACTACATATACCTATACCTAATATTTGTGTTGCATCTGGTATTATAGACAGGATTCAAGTCTATGCTATCAAATATTCAGCTTTACTTAATGAACTTACTTTTTTTTTACTAGATTCATATATTATTATTTAACTTGCTCAGCTGAGTTTGACAAGTTCAGGAGAGCTATCTGTATACAGTGCACCACCCCACCAACCACTCACAAGACTGCTGGACTGTACATCCCTTTTTTGCGCTGAGTGGAAGGATTGCAAAACCAGAGACGGTATCAAGCCTGCTGAAGATGAAGAAGATGCAGAAACAGTCATTCATATTTCATAAGCACAGTTTTTCCAACATACCTCTCATTCCTTACTCCTCTCCCACCTTTAATGTGTTCTTATTAAATTCGCAGCTGTTAAAGCATACCTCAGAGCGTTAGCCCACACAAACGCAATTATTTTTAAAGAATACTGGTTGTGCACTACATAATAAGCACACTATGTCTAGCCCATCTGTAAAACAGGAGGTCCCACTTAAAACTCACCACACATGGGCTGCAGGTGCAGGAATAAATGAGATGGACAAGTTTTATTCTCACACCAAAGAACAATGGACAAGATAAGAAAAGTTTATTTCAACTCTGATTATGCAAAATATCTTTTGACAAAAAATATTCGTCCTTTGTTTATATTCATTTCACACAAAACTGTGGATCAAAGCAACTAACAAGATTTGCTACTTATTTAAAAGAAAGCATGTGTTTCTACTGGACAATTGTAGTGACACCCCTATATATTACAAGTCCAAAATCTAACACACTTGGCAGTAATGTTTTTAAATATGAATCAATCAAATATAAAAAATCAAAGACGATAATAGGAAAACCATTGCTAAATCAGCCAATCATTAGAATCTATGCCGTAGGATCTGATGCCTGAGTTCAGAGACTAATTATATTTTAATTCTACAGCTCGTATATTGTGTGTGTTAGACAGAAAACCAAAATAACTCATGGTTTTATATTAACCTGGTATTTTTTGTGTGATAGATTAAAACAAGTAGACAAAAAGCAGGGAGCTGAATGCAAATGAGGAATAGCATGTGTGTTTTACCATTCCCAGTCAAGAACTTGTGTGAATGAATTTAATACCATGATCAACACTAATCTTTACAACAATTACACTTGAAATATTACATAAAGACTACACAGCTGACACCATTAATGCAAAGACCGCTGACAATTTATTTTATTTTTTTGGGGGGTTGACTGTTATCCACAGCCATTTGGCAACCAGGAGTCACTGTGCTCCACTGACGCCTAGGGTAATGTAATGACAATATTACACCAGCTCAAGCTCTAAACGGCAGTGAGTTCAAAGACACAGCAGTGGAAGTGGCAGCAATGTAGTGATCGATGAAAGATCAATAAAACTCTGCCATGTAATCACAAACCACAGTGATTAACAGCAACTAATCAATTGCTATTAACCCCTGTGTGTGAGAGTTAAGCAGACAATCGGCCTTTTGTGTGTGACAAATGTCCAAAAAATATAAGAGGTCGTTTACTAAACAGCCGTCTCTGTAAATGTCACCAGAAGAAAGGCTCACATGTCTAATGCACTCTTTCCTCTGTCTGCTGCGACTGGCTTGACTAATGACCAATGATGACAACATGGAGTATCACATTTATCTTGTGAAAACTGAAAAACGTATTAATATTATCTTAAAAATACAATAACTAAAATAAAATTTTTAATCTAAATGTAGCAGTCTGCATCTCATGGACACTTAGCATGTCATGTAAATGAGATAATTGGGCACAAAAGGTCCAGTCCATGTTCAGTGAATAGAGCATACATGTTCCCCTCAATTAGTATCGCATTATGAATACTACAGATTCAGATTTAATTACTTTATTTTCTTAAAAGAGAGATTAAGTGTTGTAACCACATGGAATATGACATATTACATTTACATATTTATTTATGATTTTTTTCTGCCTTTAGACAGACAGACAGACAGATAGACAGATAGGCAGATAGATAGATTAAAAAAAAAGATAAAACTGTGTTCCTCAATAAAACATAATTCTTTACTACAATGTTATCACTTTTCTGGCATGACGGGTTACATCAGCAAATCAGGTAATACAGAAGGTTGGTTTTTTTTATTGTGTATTTACAGATTTTTTACAGATTAGACAGTTTTGTTAGATTAAAACATTAAACTGGAAGAAAGAACAACAGTTTCAAAAGAAAGTTAATGGCACACCAAACTGTTTCTTGTGTCTTTTACAGACTCCCGGCCCCATGCCGACATGAAAGTCCTGCCCACACAGGGACACACAAAGCAGATCGACCACTCTCACACTGGTGGGTGTGACGCTGGTACATGTAACAGCCCCATATGTTTCCTCCTCATCCCAGCTATCAAAGACTCCTGACTCAAAGCTAGAAATAATTGTCGTGTTTTCTTTATATAACTTCAAAAGAGGGACATTTTTGTGGCCACATATAGAGGGGTAAATTTGGGCGTCTGTTTAGAACCTCCCACAATCACACTTTCAAGTTAGTCGGGGTTAAAAGCTTGAAAATGCACATTGACAGCTGTTGTTAACTAGCAAAGTGATGATGGCAAGTTGTGTGAGCATCTTCAGACACAAGCAATTTGTAAAAAGTAGAGTTTTATTGCAGCTAATGAGGACTGAAGACACACAGGCTGTATGTATATGTTGTAATTCTGGGTAGCTGCCAGAGGAGGGAGCTCTCAGAGGACCAAGCTGGGAAAGAGATGCATGTGAAGTCACCAAAATAGGTCAGAACTACTTATCTATTTCACAACATAATTATTTTCTTTGTTTATTTTATACTGATATATAAATACACTTTTAAAATATATTTAAGCCTATAGCTGCTGTTTTATGCTTTACAGCCACATTCAAATTCCTCAACTTTTTTTCTAGCACACGCCTCTCCTCTTCCCGCAAACCCACCCTGCCTCGTATACCTTTATTGCTCAACTCAGCACAACTCCCCACAACTTCAACCATCACTGTACTCTGACAAATATTCTCCACGACGAAGCACTCTAACTCTCGCCTGCTTACTTTGCTACAATGCTAACCTTGAGCTGGGGAAAGGATGCATGAGACAGGATGGATGCGTGCAGCATGTCTCCTGCTCATTCGTGGTAGAGGGTGTATGACTGTGTATGTGCATATAGTGTATGACGTGTGTGTTATATCAAATGCAGATCAATATCAAGACAAGGTCGCTTAAAAAATTTAATTAAAAACGAAAAGTGAACATCCCTCAGGCCACTCCTCACCCCTTGGGGACAAACCTAACATGACCTAATCCCAGAGTACACAAGTGAAGACAAAAGATAAATTTATATCTGTATTATTCACCACAAAGGCTTGTTTCAAGATGGTTTGTCTGGAATGAATGTCTCACCACAGCCATGTTTTATTAACGGTCGTAGAGCAAGCCAGCAAAAGCATATTGTGTCTTGTGCCACCATCTGTGTGCATTTTCCCTTTGTCTAACCAAATGTTGCTTGTAATCACACATCAGAATCATTATAAAAGGTGAATGTTTGTCAGAGACCTCACATTCATCATTGACTTGGAACTTGCAATAGGCCGATAAAGTCCTACTTTTTGCGTTCATACAAGGCCTAAAATATGTATGTGGAGCCACCAGTCCATCTTAATATTTAAAGCAGCCTGGAGGTGAGACCCGTCTAACAGTGCCTGACAGACCGTGTGTACAAAACACTGGCTGGCTCCCTTCTAAACTTGCTTTGCTGTGAAGCCTGCTGCACAGACAAACACACACATGCATGGAAGGTAAACACAAGCTGGTTTTAGACAGAACCACAGATAAATAAATCCATATACTGTACAACCCATATGGAGAGAATGTTCTTAATGGCTATATGTCTTGAATACAGGGGGGCTGGACCACCGATGTGTGACTGCTGCGTGTGGATTAGGGGAGGATGTGACCTGGAGAGACCATGGGTGAACCAAGTGTTAATTACTGTCTACTAATTATGAGAGAGACGCATCATTAACCAGAGCGCACCCACCAGAGGAGTCTCTCTTCTTCTACTATGCCGACCCTGATCTTCTGTCCCAATTAGCACCACCCTGCCCCCCATAGTTGGGCACTTCGGCTGCACTGCGCCTGCCCTCCGCTCTCTCATTCTCTCATGTGCTTCCATCAACACTGCAGTGGCTGTATAAACACACCAACCATAGAGAGGCCTTCTCAAATGCACACATCCATTAGAGGAGACAGCGCTAAAGAGGCCGTGTAGACTCCACTGTCTTCTTGCTCAATGACTAATATGGCGTCACAAGCTGTCATCCATGCCTCGCCGAGCCCCTTCTATTGCCATCTTTTCTCCCTAGCCGTCCTCACTTGGCTCTCATACTACCATCTGTAACATGATCTGTCTGAGTCTAACGCCCGCCCTCCACTGTTTTTTGAAATGTAACGCTTGAATAATATCAACAGTGTGCTTAAAACAGCTTTGTAGTTCAGGGACTAGGAATAGGTTTTCAACAATAACAATTCTGTTATGTAATCCAGTAGAATTTCCAGCAATGCTTTAAAATAAGGTTCCTTAGTAAAGAATTTATAAGTTTATAATAAGCACTAGTCATTTGTTTATAAACACTTATAAAGCATTAACATCATTTGTAGATGCTTAATACTGTTAACAGTCCATGAACAACAAAACATGAGTGTGAGCATTAATAAGTTGTTTATTATACTATTATCAAAAAATCAAAAACAACAACAAGGTATTCATGAGTTGTATTCAAGCCCGTAATAAACATGCTTAATTTAATTAATTAATTAATTAATTTTATTATTATAATAGACAAATTAATAAAGACATTTACAAAAACTTTATTACTATAAATTTTATAAAGTGTTCCAGTTCGCTAATCTCAAGTATAGACTAGTTTTGTAACCATGAACAATCATACTAGGAAAATGTAACTTTTTATTTTAAGCAGAGTTAGCCATCAACAAACAAGCCTGTTAATAAATCACACAGTGTACTTTTGTAACAACATATATGTGAATTTGATTTTATTTTATTCAGATCCCCATTAGCTTATGTCAGTGACACCAGCTACTCTTCCTGGGGTCCATGTGAATGTGAATGTAGACAAGGCATGGATTAAAACCACACAGTAAACAAGGATGAATATGCTTGTGACTGGAATAAAAAAAAACTCTAAAATTTATGACCTTTACCTACACCTCTGTAGAGAAACTGGGCAAAATAAATGTTATAAAGACCTGGAGTCTGCTGCCTCTTCTCTTCCTTCTCCTAAGGACATCATTCAAGAAGCCTTATAAGAACCAACAGAATATCCCAGTGAAGATGTGCCCACCCTTGCTGTGACTTGAGACCCACTCCCAGAGACTGTCCTCACTGAGGTAGTCTCCTCTGAAGTCCTGTGTGACCCACAGCTTGTGAAGCTCACTTATTCTGCAACTGTCAAGCCCCCAGATCTTCAGGAGACCCCCGGACTTGAGAAAATCCCAGAACTTGAGAAGATCCCAGAACTCAAGCAGATCCCAGAACTCGACCCTCCCAGGACTTGAGACTCTCCGAGGACTCGAGACTCTCCCAGGTCTCAAAAAGATTGTTGGACTCAAGCAAATCCCT